AGACACACAAGAAACCGTAAACAATAAACAAGAGATCATCGGTTTATCCCACAATATCATCCTTCAGCATTTACACTCGATTGTTCACAGCCAGATCACTGGCACAACTATGCCAAAGATATCTAGTGGGCGGGGCTTACCAACATACAACGTACGGCCGAAATGCCAAAACAGGCTCCACCCACCACTCACATTTGGCACACTGACCCGGCAGATTTTCCTCACAATCTGCTGCTGGCATTATTATTATTATTTCTACTATTACTACAGCTATTATCCTCGCGTTTCGTATAGATTATAATTAATAATAATTATTATTATTAAACACAATTGCCCTACTACTATAAATAAGAATTCCTCACCATCAACAACTGCCTCACAGTCGTACACACGCCATTCACCAAATTCGAATCACCAGTTTTTTGCTGAGAATCAAAAAATATCATTTTAGGTCGCCTTGTGGTACCACCTCTCAATTTCAGGTCGCCATCCGAAACCGATCCCCGTTCCATCGCGCCCAGGAAATCACTCGGCAAACACACTATCACTAACATCCTGCACAAGCAAATACCATTATTTCAAAAAATTATCTTATAAACATCACATCATTCACACAAAATATTCCACTCGAGAAAATAACCACTAAAAAAAACCACAAAAACGACATATAAAAATGAGAGATCAAAAGATATAAAAAAAAGGGTGAGAGTAAGCTGACCAATGACTCTGCTCTATCACCGGTATAACGATAAAACTCGCTTCAAAAATATTCACCTCGTTGATCCAAAAATTTATATAAGTTCGATATTCCTATAACAAAATCAACAGAAAAAATAATATCAATAAATAAGAATAAATAACAAATATAATAACAATATCAGAACAATAAACAATAATAATATTATAATAACAATAAATAATAAACAATAGTAATTAATAATAATAATAATAATAATAATAAATTCACTTTCGTAAAGCAAATCCCAGACTCTTTATTAATACCAACACTAAATTCCTCTAATGGATTCGAGGACGTCCTCAAACGATGCCAAAATAACGACGGTAACACGAAAATCTGCGACGATCTGCAATTAACAACAATAAAAACAATAACAAATAATAACAACAATAATAAATAACAATAATAATAATAATAATAAAAAACAACAAACCAACCCACAATCCGGCAATACATTCTCCACGATATGATTCAAATAAAAGTCCACGATCGTGTCATTTAACAACGCCCCATTCGACAGCGTTATAAAATCAGCCAACCGAACACTCATTTTAAGATTCGGAAATCTAAGGCGCAGTATCTCTTGATCACCGTCCAACGCATCCACTTGCCAATTCTCAATTTTTATTATTACTATCATTATTATTACTATTATTATTATTATTACTATTACTATTAATAATATATAAGAGAGTAATAATAAATAATTT